TCTTTCTTTCTTTCCTTTCTTTCTTCTGCCTAAAATCTTCCAAATATATGCTGAGTCAGATCAAGGGTTATATGTAAAACTTGAGAACAAGGAAAGGGATAAACCCATCTGCATACATTTGACAAAGTTGAGGATAAGTACTTGCTGAAATCCCATCCTTAACTGCCTGGCTCCCGGCTGTGCAGAAGGATTGGGGGCATAATCTCCTTCTACAAGCTTCAAAGGCTTACATTCCCACAGCTGCAAGTAGAAATATCGACTAAAGCAGAATTCCCACCCTGGATTTCCAGCGAATATGATGAGGTCTCTTGGGCCAATCTCATCTTAATGAAAATTGGAGTGAGAAATCTAAAGTTCTTGGGAAGGTTTGATAATGCATCAAACCCATTCAACAATTTATTGTCCAAAGACACACCTTGCATTTCCAAGGAAGTAAGCAAAAATACTTTCCTCTAATCTGGCTATACATACTGCTAGCCCAGAACAATGTAAATTATTTTACTGACAAGGAAACAAGTTTTTTTTTCTTCATTTATTACCGTGCAATCAGTTCAGGTTAAGACTGAAAAAAATCAGTCATATTAGCATTGTGTGCTAACCCACACTGGCTTTTAGGAAAAGGTGAGATGATAAATTACGAATTCTGCAAGGAAATGACAGGGCCAGTATAATATACGCCAAACCCTTCCATAGAATCTATGAAAGGGCAGAAGTTAGTGACAGAGCCTAATAAAAGATTTGACCTCAGATTTTATTTTATTTTTTCTTTCTTTTTTAATCCTGTTGGATCAGAGCCTGAACCTTTCAAGCCTTGGTAAAAGTTGAGAAATCCTTAGTGCTCTCCGAGTTTAGTTGTTTTCTTGTAGACATTTCATTACCCCAACTAAGTAACACCAGCATGTTTGGGACATGAAACATCTGCAAGAAAACCACCAAGTTCAGAGAGCACCAAGGACCCCCTCAATTCAACCCTGAGCTAGAAATATTCTCCTTTGTTGGTAAAAAAAATAGTTAATATTTCATGTTTCATTTCATGCAAAGGGGAGTTGGAGACGGCCAGGGAGTTCAAAAAAGGCTATATAGTAATGAATGTGGGATAAAAATCTGATAAATAATTATAACAATCACTAATTAGGCCAATCCTTGTTTGCCAAAATACTTAATCGATTAAATTTGCTTCTCTTTCTTATAACACGGGAAGGCCATCTTTACATCTGGAAAGTGTGATTTTGTGTGGGTCAGAATTGCTCCAGAGAAGGAGTCCTGTGAGCTTCTATGTGAGTCACCGTTCTGGCCAGGAAAGGAGCAAGCCAAGGGCAGTGACTTGGGCAAATGTCCAACAGGGAGCTTCTTCCAGAGAGGCTTCATTAGGAATCAGAATTGGATTCAGAATCAGGATACAGCTGGAAGGGACCTTGGAGGTCTTCTAGTCCAGCCCCCTGCTGGACAGGAGATCCTACACCATTTCAGACAAGTGACTGCCCAGGCTCTTCTTAAAAACCTCCAGGGATGAAGCACCCACAATGTTTGAAGGCAACTTCTGTTTCACTAGTTAATTGTCCTCACTTCTCCTTGATTAGTTTCCATCTATAGTTTTTTGTCCTGCCTTCTGGTGCTTTGGAAAATAATTTGACCCTCCTCTTCTTTGTGGCAGCCCCTCAAACACTGGAAGACTGTTATCATGTCCCCCTTAGTCCTTAACAAGTGTCTCATTTAGCAATGGAAATTTTGAGCTCAATTGTGGTCATAAGTTGAGGACCACCTGTATTGCTCCTCCCTGTGCTACTATTAATAACACCAAAAGAACCCACTCTCGGTGGTTGGTGGGCTCTTTCGTTTCCTCCCCTTCAAGAGAATCATCTCTCATTTCAGCACATTCCAATATTTTCTTAATGATTTCCTCCTGTGATGGTATTTTCCCATTTTTCCAGTTTTTAGCAAATACAATGCTAGCCACTGTTAATGCATTTACAATCAGGTATTGACATTTGAAATTAGAGAACAAGAGGATAAACAATTTTACAAAAAATTGGGATCTTTTCTATCAATGGTTAGACAACAAAGTACAGTAATAAAATATGTAGATTTTTAGAAAATAATATATAAAGATGTACTTCTTTCTTATTATAACTACAAAATGATTTTAGGATAGATTTGGGATGATAATATGAACTGTTATAAAATAAATTAAGTAAATTATGGTTATCTTGTAAAACATGAATGAAAAAAAGTATAGTCAAATGATTGATTAATAATGATACTAAGGTATTTAATTTTTGATTGACAATATGAGATTATATGCAATGTAATTGTAATTGAAGACTACGAAATGGAAGCACAAAACAATTTGTAAACCAACCGGCACACTGTATGTACACCTATGGAAGATAGCTTGATGTTTTTATGTTTTGTTTGTTTATGTTTGTTTTTAAAAACCCATAATTTTTTTTTTTTAAAAAGAGAGAATCATCTCTAAAGTATTCTCTTCTTTTGACTGTAGGTGGTGACATCGGCAAGTGGAATACATCCGGCTGTGAAGCGAAGCATAGAGAAAACCAAACCACCTGCCTTTGTGACCATCTCACCTTCTTTGCGGTGCTCATGGTAAGTACCAAACTCCATATCAGCATCCTGTAGAGCAGGGATGTCAAATGGGATGCCATTTTGTTGTGAGCCACATCAGGGTTGTGTTTGACCTTGGGGAGGCAGGGTGTGTGTGTGGCCAGCTCAACATTTATTTATTTTTTTATTTATTTGATTTGCCAATTGTTTACAAGATAATAAGTATAAGTGTATACATAGTTGTGAATACATGAAATGGGTACATATAAGAAAAATAAAAGAAGAATAAGAGAAACAATAGGACAGGGACGGTAGGCACGTTGGTGCGCTTATGCACGCCCCCTACAATACAACATCACTCATGTCGGGGGTGCCTGGGGCGGCCTGAGCGTTATGCCAGCAAAAACAGGCTCCCGTGCTCCGTTTTAGGCTGCAATGGCCTCCTGCAAGCCTCTGCCAGTGAAAACAGAGTTCGGGAGGGCTGCGTTGGGCCGGTCCTTTGCTATTTCCAGGGCAGCCCCATGGGCCAGATTTAAGCACCTTGAGTTTGACACCTCCGCTATAGAGGAGGAGTATGGAGGACTATAACTCCAGAGGTAGGTATTCAGCTGGTTCTGACCAGTTCTGAAGACCCGGTAGCGGAAATTTTGAGTAGTTCGGAGAACTGGCAAATGCCACCTCTGACTGCCCCCCCCCCAGGGGTGGGATTCAAATTTTGTAACAACCGGTTATGTGGGTGTGGCTAGGTGGGAGTGGCCATGTGACTGGGTGGGTGTGGCTTCTTCTTTTTTTTGCAGCACCTCCCCTGTGTTTTGGGGCTCCATTTTGGGGCCTCCTGCGCCTCAAGGGAGCTTCCTGAAGGGGTGTTTGTGTCCCAGAAGGCTTCCCTGGGGCCCAGGAAGGCAAAAAATGGCAGGTTGAGGGGGCTATGCTCCTTCCCTCCATTTTTTTGCCTTCCTGGGCCTCAAGGAAGCCTCCTGGGTGAAGCAGTAAGTAAGCGAGGGGAATCCCAGCACAGCTGATCATAGGAACAGCTGATCATCGGGAGGGGGGGGGAAAGAAATACCTTGGTGACTGGGCAGGGAAGAACGCAGTCACCGATGTTGGGCATGCGTGCGATGTTGCGCATGCACAATAAGGACTGACTGGGTGGGGAGGGGCGGGACGGGTGGAGAGGGGCGGGGCCAGCCAGGGGCATGATTTGCCGGTTCTCCAAACTGCGCAGAATCTTAACAACCGGTTCTAAAGAACCAGTCCGAACTGATAGAATCCCACCCCTGGCCCCACCCCCATCTATTCTCTGCCTCCTGAGTCTCAGCTGATCAGCTGGGTCTCCTTTTGTTGTCCTGTACAGGAGAACGGAGCAGTGGGGTGGGGAGGGAATGGGATTTTGCAGTAACCTTCCCCTGCCACACCCGCCAAGCCACACCCGCCAAGCCCTGCCATGCCCATCAAGCCATGCCCACAGAACCGGTAGTAAAAAAATTGAATCTCACCACTGTACAACTCCCAGATATTCAGAAATCCCATGGTGAGGAATCAGAAAACCTCAGGAGATCTCTTACCCTTGAACCTAACCAAAAACCGACTATATAATAAAATTCTATTTATTTATTTCATAATATTCAATATTTATTGAAGCTAAAGGTAGAGAAATGTATACTTGGTTTCCCAGGAAGTGGACTTGAATGAACCCAAAGTAATGATAAATTGCATGGAAGGGAGGGATAAATTCCAAAAGGGGAAAAAAAAGGATCGGAAAACCAATCCTTAAAGAGAGATTGACGCATGTAGCCTTGAATAAAGTTAATTTGCCAAGGAAGGCAAAAAAGGCAAAAAAAAATACTGGACAAAAATACACACTTGGTTAGAGAAAATGACAAAGCAACATATAGATTTAAAACCAAACATTTTTGTTAGGTATATTACCAGAAAATTATGACAAATGGGTTGTATATTTAATACTACATGTGCTGACAGCAGCATGAATTGTATTTGCACGATATTGGAAAAATGAGGACATTCCTACAGATAGAAACATAATTAACAAAAGATTAGACTGTGCGGAAATGGATAGGTTAACATTAAAGATAAAGGATAAAGAAGATACAGAATTTTTTTTAACATGGGATTTGATTTATAAATGGTTAGACAGAGGTAGAAATTAGAAGCTGGAAGGATATTACTATATACAAGTAAATATTGTTATTATTGATATTATGTATAAGGTAAATTGACCCTGACTGTTTCCTAAGCACTCATGTATGTTAAAGACAATATATTATCATATATATATTTATATCATATCATATCATATCATATCATATCATATCATATCATATATATATGATAATTTGCCAAGGACATGTCCAGGCAATTGCATAGAGTCAAAAATGGACCTGAAGGTACCCATAAAGGTAACTGGGAACTCATATTCCATTTTCTATTTGCCCATATGTGACAGCAGCATGTCACACAGGTGAAGATCTGATCCTTGCCACCAAGAGCATAGGATACCAAATCATGGGTCTCAGTTATGGATTGTAGCTGGAACATAGGAAAAAGCTTTGTAATGGTAGGAGCAGCTTTGTTGTAATAACAGAATAACAGGAATGGAAGGGATCTTGGAGTCCATTCTCTTGCTCAAGCAGGAGATCCTATACCATTCCAGTGTCTTCTTAAAAGCCTCCAATGGTGGAGCATCCACAATTTCTGGAGGGAAGCTGTTCCACTAGTTGTAGAAATAATTAACCAGGAAGACAGCAAATTCCTATTCACGGGATGTATTCAAAAGGAAGACAGACACGGGAGGGCGGAGCTGACGTTGCAACGATATGACGAGCGATTATGGGGCTCCAGAACTGGTGTCGATACTGCCGCAGCTGGGGTATTTGGATCTAAACCGTCCCGTAGAGATGGTGAATGAGAAGAGCGTAGACTGCTGATCCCAGGGATACCGCAAAATCCCTGGTTGAACCAGGCGAAGCTTTTCAAACCAACTGCGGAAGGAAGCAGCCATTGAAGCTGCTGAGAGGTTGGAACAGCTCCGGAACGGAAGAGAAGAAGAACGGAAAGTGTGTCGGTTTTGGTGAGATCTTTAAAAAAATTTTTTAAGAGAGAGCACCCTAAGAAGGAAAGATTCAAGAATATTGAAGACAGAAGAATAAGCAGTGAAATTAAACTTGTACTCAGAAGAATTGTTATCTAAGTGATTTTTATTGATTTTTTTAAAAAAGACAGACATCTTCCAGGGATATGACCCCTGATAGGAAGCTGGGTTTGAAGGCCTCAGTGCTTCTTGCAGTCTTCTAGTTGTGGTCCAACCACATTTAGAACATTAATGATTCCTTCAGTCCTGGAACTGCTGGAAAGCCTTTACTCCTTTACATCTCTTAGATCTTTTCCTTCCTGTCTTTCCTTCTACAGCTCCCCTCCTCAGATATAGACGAGATCCACAAGAACTACCTGACCATTATCAGTTATGTTGGTTGCATCATTTCAGCTCTGGCTTCACTCATCACCATTGTCTTCCTTTGCTTGAGGTAAGATATGTTGATATTTTGCTCTAAGTCGGGATTTGGAAAGGAGGAAGACCAAGAAGGACTTTAGAAGGAAGTTAGAGTAGCCCTGAAGAAGAAACTAGCAAAGACATGCAGTGTTTTTCTCAGTGAAGAAGAACCCTATGAGATCATGTGCAGGAACATTTCAGCATGCATCACAAAAAAATGATTTTTCCAGCTCTGAGTCACATTGGGTAGTATGGTAGCTCTGGGCTTGTCGACTGGAAAACTTGCAGCCCAAGTTCGAGACCCAAGCTCCATACAGTAGGGTGAGCTCCTGTCCTCCCCGCAGCTTCTGCGAACCTAGCAGTTTGAAAACATGCAAATGAGAGTAGATACGGGGTGGGATTCTACCGGTTAGAACTGGTTCTATAGAACCGGTTGTTATGATTCTGTGCAGTTCGGAAAACTGGCAAATCGTGCCCCTGGCTGACCCCGCCCTGCCTCTCTCCATCTGCCCCTCCCCTCCCTGCCCAGTCAGTCCTTATCGTGCATGCACAACATCGCACACATGCCTGACATCGCTGACTGAGTTCTCCCCCATCCAGTCACTCCTTAAGGTGTTTCTTTCCCCCCCCCTCCTGACAATCAGCTGTTCCAGTGATCAGCTGTTCCGGGATCCCCCTCGCTGTCTTACTGCTTCACCCAGGGGGCTTCCCTGAGGCCCAGGAGGCAAAAAGGGGTGCGTGTGTGTGCTTCGCCCCCCCACGCTCTGTTTTTTTGCCTTCATGGGCCTCAGGGAAGCTTCCTGGGAGCAAAAATACCACCTCAGAAGGCTTCCCTGAGGCCCAGGAGGCCCAAAAATGGAGCGCAGGGGAGTCCTGTGCGCTCCCCCTTCACTCCAGATTTTTTTGCCTTCCTGGGCCCCAGGGAAGCCTTCTGGGAGCAACCCCCCCCCAAGACTTCCCTGAGGCCCAAGAGGCAGAAAAAATGGGGGTAGGGTGCTGAAAAAAAAAGAAAGAAAGAAAAAAAAGAAAGAAAGAAGAAGCCATGCCTACCCAGCCACATGGCCACGCCCACCTAGCCACGCCCACAGAACCGGTTGTTAAAAAATTTGAATCCCACGCCTGAGTAAATAAATAGGTAGCTTTTTGGTGCGGAGGAAACAGCGTTTTGTGATGTCTTGCTGGCCACATGACTGGCTCAGTGGCCTTGAAACGGAGATGAGCACCACAGAGTAGCCATGGCTAGTGGAGTAAAATCGGCAGGGACTCCTTTTTACCCGAGTCACATACTTGTCTGTGAACCCATATAATGATCTAGCCACAAGCTGAAATTTACCATTTTCAGGCTGTTCCCAGTAATTCACCAAATATGTAGGAACTGAAGTGGGATTTTGTGTGAACTTTGTTGCTTCTCCAGGTCACACAAACACACAAACACACACACACACACACACACCAATGTAGTGTCAGAAGCTGAGCTTGGTGATAATGGCCAAAGCAAGATTATGGAAAGATTTTGCAGGATTTCCCAGATGGACCGTTTTTGAAATTCAGAGCTCGTGGTAGATGGCCGTAAGAGTGGGACATTCATCTACCAACTTAGTAGGAAGGAGATACCATAGAATGCAGTCAAAGGAGGATGGGAGTCGGTGTGCATTTGATATACATTTTCTAAGGGTAGAGCTGGGGCTTTTTGGACCTATTTCCGTAAGCCCCAGGTAGCTTAGTGAACAGCAACTGACAGTGAAAACTGCAGTGCAAAATATCCGAAGAGCAGCAGGTAATGCAACTGTTCTTGAAGGATTAAGGTGCTCACATTGGATCCCCTTGAAACAGGAAGACAAGTCTGATGCTCTTTCTTTTCCATAGGAAAAAGCAAGCATGACACGGTCTATGTCCACATGAATCTTATCTGGACAACAGCCTTTGTGGGGGGGGAGTCTGTGTGCACTTGAAGGATATATGTTTTCTGAGATGGACAGAGGTCAATGACCTGTGGCTGTCCAGTCTTTTGGACTTCAGTTTCCATGACCCCCAACCAGCATGGCCAGAGATGGTATTCATCTGGTTCTGACCAGTTCTGGAGAACCGGTAGTGGAAATTTTGAGTAGTTCAGAGAATCGGCAAATCCCACCTCTGACTGGCCCTGCCAACCCCATCTCTTCTCTGCCTCCCATTGAGTCCCAGCTGATCGGCTGGGTCTTCTTTGGTTGCCCTGCATAGGAGAACGGAGCTGGGAAGCAGGTTAGTGGGGTGGGGAGGGAATGGGATTTTGCAGTATCCTTTCCCTGTCACGCCCACCAAGCCACACCCACCAAGCCACGCCCATAGAACTGGTAGTAAAAAATTTTGAATCCCACCACTGAGCACGGCCAACCACAATGTGACTATGAGAATGGTCTGCAGAACGTCTGTAGGAAGGTGTTGGAAGGAAAAATCCATCTGGTTCAGTCCCAAGCTGGGAGAAAGACGCTGGAAACAACATGGAGGCTGATTGGAAAGAAAGGTTTATTGATGAACAGAACCACAGACAAAGACAATATGGAGTTCTGGGTCAGCTAAACCAGAACCACACTGTCAACTGTGCCTCATTCAAAACCCAAGAAATAAATCCTTCGACTCCATTAAAATAGAGAAAAGTATTTTTACTGAGTTTGAAATGATAGCAATGAAAGGAAAGCAAAATGTGAGGCAAATAGGCACAGAAATTGCATATTGGAAGTCATCCCAAGTTCTCTCCCCCCCAGGAGTCCAGACTGTTCATTCCAATCTGAGGTGTGTATAATGTCATGTGGGGCACATCCTCAGGTGGTTTCTCACTCATCTGGTATGCCAAGACAGTTGACCTTGGCTTAGTAGAGATAAGTCTATTCTGTTTCATCAATAAACCAGCTTTCTTTCTAATCAGCCTCTGTGTGATTTCCAGCGCCTTTCTCCCAGCTTGGAACCGAACCAGGTGGATATTTCTTCAACAGAAATAGGTGAAGTTACTCAGGGATCAGGTCTTGAGGATCAAATCCTTTCATACAACAGGTGCTAAGACTTTTCATGACTGCAGTTTAGAGCAGGGGTCTCCAACCTTGGCAACTTTAAGGCTTGTAGACTTCAACTCCTAGAGTTCCTCAGCCAACTTCCTCTGGGAGTTGAAGTCCACCAGTCTTAAAGTTGCCAAGGTTGGAGACCACTGGCTTAGAGTCTCATAACAACCAAGAAAAGAAGTATGATGCTCTTCCTACTTCACAGGAAAAAGCAGAGAAACCACATTGTCTATGTCCACATGAATCTCCTCTGGGCCATCTTTCTTCTCAACGTGAGCTTCCTCGTCACGATGCCTCTGGCTCCTAACATGGAAGGCATGGCTTGCAAAGCTAGTGGGACGTTCTTGCACTTTTCCGTGCTTGCATGCTTGACCTGGATGGCCATTGAGGGCTACAGTCTCTACCGGCTGGTTATCCAAGTCTTCAACTCTTACATGAAATGCTTACTTGTCAAGCTGTCCTTAATAGGTTGGGGTGAGTGATTATATATATATATATATATTGCTATCCTTGTTTTGGATCTGTCTCTCACTATCTCTTACTCTGGAATGATTATATTTTTTCTAAGATTTATTTCCCTTTTTGGTACTGGCTTGAACTTATCTTTCAACAATTGTTGTGAAATGGGGGGGGGGCAGGATGCAAGGGTGGGATTCAAAAATCCCAGCAATCAGTTCACTGCCCGGTTGATGGGTGGGCAGGGCCGTGGTGGGCGGAGCCTACAGGAGCTTCCTGTTTTCGGCATCCGGTGGGCCTCCAGAGCCCGGGGGAGGCCATTTTACACCCTCCCAAGGGTCCAGAGGCCTCTCCCGGGCTTCTGGGAGGGTGAAGATGGCCTCCCCCAGGCTCTGGAGCCCCCCCAGAAGCTGGAAACAGGCCTGTTTCTGGACTTCCAGAAAGCCGGTTTTTCCCCCTCCCAGAGCCTCTGCGTGGATTCTGCACTTACCTCCATCAAAATGGGCCACATGGAGATTCCTGGAAGGGGTGGGGTGGGAGGGGTGGGGCCAACTGGTTGTTTGAAATATTGGTTCGGTGAACCAGCTGAAACTTTAACTTCCAATTCAACATGAACCAGTCCGAACCGGTAGAATCCCACCCCTGGCCGGATGTGGCATTAACTCCAGCTGTTCTCATCTGCAGGTCTTCCTCTACTCGTCGTGTGCCTAATTTTTGGGATTGATCAGTCCTCCTATGGGCTTTCCTCTCTTAAAGTCTATACATCTCCTGATCAATACCACATTGAATTCATGTAAGTTCCCGGGGGGGGGGGGATAGAACAAAATGCCCTCTACTGTCTATTCAGAAAGTTTCATTTTTCCCTGTGGATTAACAGTCATCCATCTCTGGGTAGCAGAGGCTGATTAGACCCAAAACCTGGAGATGTTACTGTACTAAATCATGTCCCTAAGGGTGATATGGGTAATACTGAATTGTTAACTAGGGCATACAAAACCTTTGCTAGACCAATACTCAAATACAGCTCATTTGTCCGGAATCTGCACTGTATCTTGGACATTAATACAATTGAGCGAGTCCAAAAGTATTTCACGAGAAGAGTATTACACTCCTCTGCTCGCAACAGAATACCCTATATCACCAGACTTGAGATTTTGGGCTTGGACAACCTAGAACTAAGCCACCTATGATTGGACTTAAGCGTAGTACACAAAATTATCTACTACAATGTCCTATCAGTCAATGACTACTTCAGCTTCAACTGCAACAATACAAGAGAAACTCAATGTGAACCGCTCCAAACTTGATTGCAGAAAATACGATTTCAGCAACAGAGCGGTGAATGCCTGGAATGCACTACCTGACTCTGTTGTTACATCCTCAAACCCCAAATCCTTTAACCTTAAACTATCTACTATTGACCTCACTCCATTCCTAAGAGGTCTGTAAGGGGTGTGCATAAGTACACAATCGTGCCTACCTGTCCTATTGTCCCCATTTATTCATACCTATTTCCTGTATTCATACTCATATTTAGACTTATTCCTATTATCTTGTAAGCGACTGACAAATCAAATAAATAAATACATAAAATATGAATATATAATCAACAACTGCACCTCTCTCTGGCTGACTGATGTATAGGAACCCCAGACTGATCCCATTGTAATTGATATAGATGGAATGCATACATTTTGTAATTTATACATTAATTTATGTAGTTCTTATCTGTGTTTATTTTGGGTTTTATCATGAGATATATGTCCCAGAGGAAAGTGGCCTCCAATTCAAAAAAGTCTTTCTCTTTTAGATTCAGTATTACTAAATCTGGGTCAATACTAACATCAAAGTCCTCACAAATAGTCATAGAAGATCATAGAATTTCTAATTGGAAAAGCGTGATTGGACATACAAGGAATTTGTCTCCGGTGCATAAACTCATAATGTACATATAAACAGAGAGGAACATGTCACAATTAAACCATTGATGTAACTTGTCAACTAAAGACTCAGCATTACTTGTTGTATGGGTGGCGCATAAAGGTTTACACAGAGTAACTTTCTCCTCTTCAGTTTCAGCCTCAATATTTGAATTTCCAGATAAATTTCTTCTAATCTCATATCATGAATGTGCTCCATTGCTGGGTGGATGGATGCTCCAGCGCTAGAAGGGTTTCAAGAACGACAGTTGTCCAGGATGGTGTAAGCCCTTGTAACCTCGAACATGCCTTCCAGTCCTGGGATTTTATGATTCTATCAAGATGTATTGTGACTAGGCTCATTAAGCCCCCACTTAGCATGGCCCGTCTTTTGGTCCCTTGGGGCTCATTATAAAAACACCTGTAGCCCGGTATTGCTATAACATCATTTCCATCAACCAAGTTTCTTGGAGAATGAGGGAATCAGGGCATGAGCAGAGGCCACAAAGTGGGTGGAATGCATCACATTCATGATTGGCACTGGAACGTCCTGGAAATTCCTGTTTTTGAGGAAGGTGTCACCTTAAAGAAAATTTCCCAGCCTATTTGAATGCTCATATTCCAGTTTCCACCTAGTTAAATGGTGCCTAGACTTACCTTTCTGTTTTTTTTTCTCTTCTCCTCTCCAGCTGTTGGATCACCAAAAAGGAGATCAACAATTTCTTGAATTTGGGCTATTTAGGCCTGGTGGTCTTGTTCAACAGCATCATGCTAGTCATCATGGTGTATGAGATTCGTAGGCTGAGACATCGAGAGCATCACTGGAGATATGTGGTGATGCTCCTGGGCCTGAGCTGCGTCCTGGGCATTCCGTGGGGGCTGGTCTTCTTCGCATTCGCTTCTGGGACCTTCAAGCTGGTGGCCGTCTATCTGTTCACCATCATCAACTCTCTCCAAGGTCAGGGAGTATTCCTGCTCCCTTTAGTCTTGAGATCTGCCACTTTTATCAGTTTTTATCCTCTGGATTTTCACGCAACACAAGAGAGAGTTGCATTTTGGCTCGGTGACTTCATCTTTTCACTTCAATCTGAGCTTATGAAGCAGATCCTAAGAGGATGGGATGATCAAGTTGTTGCTCGTCTAACTTTTCACTGTCAATGTTCTGACCCAGCTCCCCAAACACGACAAACCCTCTGAAGTTAAATCAATGATTCCTTTATTAGGAGTAAAAAGTTTCTCTCTCAACACAGGCTAACAAGTCTGTCCAGCAGGGAGATGAATAATATGCCACATCTATTTATTTTCACCCCCTGCCCTTTATCCCCAGAGCTAGGGTGGGACCTCACTAGCAGCGGTGGCTCTTCCATCCCAAGGACCGGCCCATAGATCTCCACTGCTCTCCTCTCCTCTGCCTTCTGCACATCCCCGCATGAGGCACTGGACCCAGCAGTTCCTCCTCTTCCGTGCATCAGGCACTGGGTCCAGCTGTTCCACATCAGCCATCTCCAGACCTGAGGGCTGTTGATTCTCCATTTGAGGGTGGACGGACGGCCCAGGCTCCGCCCCTCTCTCTCTCTGCCAGCTCCATTCCCTCTTCCCCCTCGGAACTCTCAGGTTGCCCTGATGCTGGTCCTGACTCCCACGCCTCCTCCTCTTCCTCCTCTGATTTGGGTGCTGGAGGGGCCAGTGGCCAACAGGCCACAACAGGCCACAACACTCTTCAAGATCACAGGGTGATGACTGCTTCTGATCTCCTACCTTTGGGCTTCTCTTGTTATGTAATCTGAGGTCACTGCTATCTTAAGATGCATCTTTCCAACCTAATTCAACGTTTCCAAACTTTGCAACTTTCAAAGGAGTGGACTCCACCTCCAGAATTCTGAATGTTGATGTCCCCCTATCTGAACATTGCCAAGACTGAAAAATATTGTTCTAATTTGTAAGTGAGCAGATCCTAGAGGATGGCAGGTAGAACCCATGATTTGCTTGGAGAAGTCTTAGATTGACTTCCAGCATCTCAGGGTCAGCTAGACAAGGTAGAATGAATCTCACGGACCTAACCAATCTACCACATATAACAACTGTAGTGGTAAACTTGGAGCCGCTGGGACTTGAAGAGAAGACAATTCCTATGGGAGGATTTGGGGGCAATCATTATTTTATCCCATACTATCAAACAGGGTGGGTTTGCAGAGCATGCTAGACTACATAAAATGAGGTAGGTGGTTTGAGGTTCAGTGTGGTGTATTCAATGAGTTAAATCTGCCTGAAACAGTCCCTATAGTTTTGTTTTTGTTTTGTATGCAACAGTTTTGCTGAAAACCACATTTTTCTTCCGGTTTTTGATCAAACTGGTCCACAGCAGCACCCGTTTGCTTAATGGCTGTGTCATTTGCTGAGAGGAATGACCTGGATATGGAGAAATTGCCAACAATGAAAATAAATGTTCTTGACTTCTGAATTTCAGTCCTTCCACATCATGTGACGGTCAACAGCCCTCAACCCTGCTACTATCCGGTCCCTGCGTCCCGATTCCACAGTTCCTTTCAGGGACTGCTTAACATCTGTGATCTTCTTCTGTTTCTCCAGCTCCAACTCTTATCATTCCATTGTCTACTTTTATGATAAGGTTACAATAACTGAATCTTGCAAGTCTGATTATACTTCCATCTTTATCTTCATGTGAACTAGGGAGGTTCCTGTCTGAGTTGTTTTCACAGATTACATTTCCGGCCCAGACTCAAATTTCTTTTATTTATCTGTTGCCTTGGCTGCGGCTCTTCCTCCTTCTTCCTCAAGGTTATTCCTACAGTACTACATTACGCTGCAGTTCTATCCCTACGTCCGAACTTCTCACTCCCTTCCAGGAACTACTTAACACTTGTGATCTCCTCCTGTTTCTGCAGGCTTCCTCATCTTCCTTTGGTACTTGGCCAAAGTGCTGCAGTCTCGCAGGTCGAATTCCATGCAGTGCACGACTTCCAACAGCCTGAATCTCCAGTCCAGCAACTCCAGCATCTGACCTTGTCCTGGCCAGGGGGACTTTGGATGTGAAACGCTCACACAAGGATCTTCCTGGAAACTCAATCAAACCCTTCTTTGGTGGACTTGGGTGACTTCGTACCTCTGAGTAGCTTCGAGACGACACCGATATGTTTTCCTTCAATGTAGGAAATTTCAACTTACAATAGTTTGTTTAGTGACTGTTCAAACTTACAACAGCACTGAAAAAGTGACTCGTGACTGTTTTTCACACTTATAACCATTGTGACATCCTCATGGACATGTGATCAAAATTCAGGCACTTGGCAACTGACACATATTTTTGGGACCTTCTGATAAGCAAAGTCAATGGGGAAGCCAGATTCACGTAAGAATTCACGTAACTAACTTAACAACTGCAGTGATTCACTTAGCAACTGTGGTAAGAAAGGTCATAAAATGGGGAAAAACTCATTTAAGAAATGTCTCTCTTAGTGGCAGAAATTTGGGGCTCAATTGTGGTTTTAAGTCAAGGACTACCTGTATTTGTACGGCTCTTTTTTCTAATGTAAATATTTTATTTTAAAATTGCTATGGTGTGAAAAGTGGATGAGAGTACATTGAAATTTAAACCGTGTGTATTAAAGACAAATTTTTATTTGTGCAGATACCTTCTTAATTACATCTGGACAAAATATAGCTGTGTGGTTGTTGTGTGCCGGGGTGAAAAGCTGTGGGGAGCAAAAGGAAGCCGGGCTGTACGGACTGTGGAAAATATTCAGAGCCCAGTAAAATCAGCTGGGAAGAAACATGGAAATATCAGAAATAACAGAGTCAACTTCATACACTTTCCTGAAGCTCAACCCTGTGTTTTCATATCATAACAGTGGTATATAAGTCTACTGCCCGCCCATCCATACATCCATGAGGTGCAATGGTTAGACTGCAGTATTGCAGACTGACTCTGCCCACTGCCAGGAGTTCAATCCTGACCAGCTCAAGGTTGACTCTTCTGAGGTCAGTAAAACGAGGTCCCAGATTGTTGAGGGGGCAAGAGGCTGACTCTGCAAACTGCTTAAAGTAGCTGTAAAGCACTGAAGTGAAGTGGTATATAAGTCTAAGGGCTATTGCTATATGGTTACCCAGTGTGCATGGCATATCAGAAAATATAGTACGAGAGAAACCTGCCTGAATGGCCTTTTAATCTAGGAGCCAGCAGCATGCTGCAGCTGCCAGAACAGCCAATGTGATCTTGATTGCAGTCAACAGAAAGACAGTGTCAAGATTAGGAGAAATGACATCACCACTTTATACCACACTGGTGAGGCCATATTTAGAATATTGCTTTCGATTCTGGTCAGCACAGTTCAAAAAAAAAAAATGCTGAAGCTCTAGAAACAGAGATAAAATGCTATAAAAATTACAAGGGGTATGGAGCAGAGGTGGTATTCAGCAGGTTCTGACCAGTTCTGGGGAACTGGTAATGGAAATTCTGAGTGGTTCGGAGAACCGGAAAATCCCACCTCTGGCTGGCCCGGCCCCCATTTCTTCTCTGCCTCCCACTGAGTCTCAGCTGATCAGCTGGGTCTCCTTTGGTTGACCTGCGCAGGAGAAGGGAGCTGGAAAGCAGGTTAGTGGGGTGGGGAGGGAATGAGGACATTGCAGTAACCTTCCCCAGGAGTGGGGAGGGAATGGAGATTTTAGAGTATCCTTCCCCTGCCACGCCCACCATGGCATGCCCACCAAGCCATGCCACGCCCATCAAGTGATGCCCACAGAACTGGTAGTAAATAATTTGAATGCCACCATTGGTTTGGTTCCCACGACCAGCTAAAGGTACCTAGTAGTTATGTTTAACCTAATGAAGAGAAGGTTTAGGGGAGACATGATACATGCATCTTAATTATTATTTATCAAGTTTATATGCCACTCATCTCGCAGCGCTCATCTCCCAGTACTTGAAGGACTACCACAGGGAAGAAGGGGTCAATTTATTATCCAAAGTACTTGAGACCAGGACAAGAAGAAACAGGTAGAGGATCATTAAAGAGAGATTCAACCTAGAACTAAGGAGAAATTTATTGGCAGTGAGAACAATTAATCAGCTTTGCCTCCAGAAGTTTGGGTCCTCCATCACCGGAGGGTTTCCAAGAAGAAACTGGACAGTCATTTGTCTGGCATAAGGTGTCCTGCCTTGCACTGGAGGTTGGATTAAAACCTTAACCCTCACCTGAAGGTTCCTTCCAAATCTACAATTTTATGATTCAACCCCGAAGAGAGGAGATAATAGAGAAAGGGAAGGGAAGTCAAGGAAGTGCAGACGAATAGGATGTGGTTAAGCAACTGAATTGAGGTAAATGAGAACTGGTGGGTTGACCCAAATTGTATTTATTTATTTATATCCTTGCACACTGCTGGGACACACCCAACCACAGCAGCTAACAAAAAAAAAATTCCAACATCATTAATAAGAATCCTAGCAAAAAGTTATTTTGGAGCAGTGTTTCACAACCTTGGCAATTTCAGGATATGTGGATGTTATGCGGACTTCAGCTCCCAGAATTCAACTTTAAGGTGGGTAGACTTCAACACTCATAATTCCCCAGCATGCATTCTGGTAGGGGAATTCTGAGGATTGAAGTCCATCCATCTTAAAATTGCCAAAGTTGAGAAACCCTGTGTTAAGAGGAAGAGAAGGCCTGTTTTCATAAGGTTAAATTAGAATTCTTACTGTGTATATCAGCACACTAACAATCAAGGTTAAATGTTTAATTTTTTTTTTTACAGGCAACTATTTCAAATTTTGCACATTGCACATCGTAGGTAGAAACTGGACTATGAGGTCAGCTTCCAACTTCTGAATGAAGCTTCAGTTGATTCCTTTTGCAAACTCGAAGGGATGAAAGCTTCAACAGGATAAGCTATTTTGGGGGGGGAGAAGCAGCTTCCACATTTTGAGAGTGTGACTGTGGGCCTTGAACCAAAGGGTTGGCCATGAAAATGGGAAGCAGGATTAACACGCTTTTCTTCATAAAGTAATAATAATTCTCCCCTTTCCCCCCCAGCTTCCCTAGCTGTTTTCTATTCGAGCACATTTCAATAGCTTTGAGGTCTAACAGGTGGCCAAGAGGCATTTTTCTAAATCAAGATAACATCAGGAACTCTGTGCTTCCTGCAAAACATCTCTTTCACTATCCCCAAAACATGGGTTAAAAAAGAAAGAAAAAAAAATAAGAAAAGAAGACAAAGAAAAGAAAAGGAAAAAAAAAAATAGGCCAGCAACAGCAGAAGCTGGAACACACTGATAACTGCCGCTGTATTGTGGCTTTACTGGTCTCCCAAAGCAAGCTTGTGCATCAGAGATAACGCTATACTGAATTTTGCTTGCGTCAAATTTTGAATTTCTTCAGAGCCTTTCCCCCCCCCCTCTGTTTTTTCCTCCTTTATTCTCAAATGACTTGAGAATTTCTTTCAAATTTCTCCGTGATGCACTTGAACTTGCTTTTTAACTGAAAGGTGGAAAAGGGGAGATGGCCGAGGTTGCTGCTTTCTGATCGGTGTCTTTTCACTGGCCCTGCAGCTTCCCTGGCTGCTCATACTTCCCATTCGGGAAAAGCCCGGATCTCTGAGGAGGATCTATTGGAAGCCAGAGAGCCTGCAGATCACTAGTGAGACGACAAGATGTTTGTGCCCTTCCCTGAGCAACGTGGCCATTCAAGGAGGGCAAGATCTCTACCTTTGACCTCTGAGGAGTTGTCCAAAATTCTCCTATCCCTTAAAAGGAAGCTTAGAAATCAATTTCATTCATTTGAAGGAGAACTAGTAGGAAAATGCTCCAAAGTTTTTTCAGCACGGCTGTTGTTGGAAACTTCTTTCACGGGAGAAAATTGCAAACTGGCCCTGGCGTGAACTGCAATTATAAGATTTATTTGGAGGTCTGCTCTTGCGGAAGTTGCTCACTTCTTCATGACTTTCACAACAGCTATGAAGATGGAGATTGCAATGAAGACTATTGCGGCCATCACACAAGGAACCCACACCTGCGATCCTGGAATGAAAAGGGAGGGGGAGGGAGGGGGGAAGGGGAGAGGAGAGATGGGGAGAGAGAGAAAGACAGAGAGGAGGAGAAGAGAGGGAAAGAGGGGAGAAGGAAGGAAGGAAGGGAAATGAAAAGAAACAATGGAGGATAGATAGATAGATAGATAGATAGATAGATAGATAGATAGATAGAT